ACACGGCTGTTACTCTGAAACTTGCAACAAATGATGACCCAAGATTTAGGAAGAAAAATACTTCTCTGATAAATAGGTCTTGATATTTATCTAAACGTTCTCCCCCCTCTTACAGTTGGGGAAATCAAGGCAAGGAATATGTAAGTGCCTTGCCTGTTGACGATGATGGATGGATTGTAGTAGATAAACAACAAAAATGCACCCTTACCAAACAAAACCCCATCACCTGCAATCCAAGAGATTATAGAAAATCGGAAGAAGGGTGATAATGTAGATAAAGACTGGATCCACATCTGGGTTCAATCCTGGCTCAGACACAGACTCTCTGTGTGACTTTGAGAAAGGAACTGCATCTCTCAATCCCCCACATTTGTAACATGAGAATGATGCTAGTCCCTTTATCTTGTCTGTTTGGCCTGTAGGCTCTTTATAAGGCTCTCTCTTCCTTTGTATATGTACAGCACCTCGCGCAATGGGGTTTGATCTCTGTTAGGGTCTCTAGTCAGTGCAATGATTCAAAACAATAGACAATAAAAATACCAGCTCGGGAACTGTGTTGAGCCAACCCATGAACAAATAATTTTAATGGTTTTCAGCAGACCCATCGTTTTGTAGGCGCTCCACTGTCTCACCTTGTTGAAGTTGGACAGATCCAGTAAACACAACAAATATATGATACAACCCATCACAGCTGGATTAAAAAAATACACAAAAAATATAATACATAAAAAATGGTTTTACATTGTGGACTGACACAGCTCTACAAATGGTGACCATAACCCTGGTAAGCTTTACAAAGTCTTTAAAAAAATAAAACAGTACTTCATGTGAAATTCATAAATACAATGGGGGAGGAGGAGAGGAAGGGGCTTGGTTATTGATTAAGAGTCTCTGGGTACCTGTTTAAGTCCCATTACGGGAGAGCCAAGCACTTGGCATCTCTACCGCTGTCCCGTAGGAGTGAGTGGCAGCCGGGCTAACGGGCAGCACGTGGATGTGTATTTGTGTCCGCAAACCAGAGGTCAGAGGGCGTGTGAGAACAGCCAGGGAACTAGGCAGCGGATCTACTGCATGATGCTTTGAGATTACAAGGGAGGGAGGTGGGTGGGTTGCAGATGAAGGGCTAAGCAACATAAAACAGTCCAGTTTAAGAAGAGATTCTTTCCAACAGGGCTCTGGCCCAGTGTGGGAGCGGGGCAAACACAAAGGTGGGGCGGGGTTGTGTTGGGTTTTTATAAAGCCCAACTCGTCTAGCAGAGCAAACTCCCCCCACCCTCCCCTCGGCGAGGGGACCGGAGCCTGCCGCAGGAGTGTATACAGAGCCCTCTGTCTGGAAGGCAGGTTAGTGAGGGAAAGAGGGGGGCATTGTTATGTGTCTCTGCATGCTGACGGGAATGCTTGGAAAAGGGAGGGTTGAACCTCAATTCCCAGAGTTTTAGATCTGCGAGTGAAACAAACATGCTACATATAAGAAACCCAGCCAGGTCTCCCCACCACTGGAACATGGGCACAGAAAGGGACTATGGGGATTCAGGATTCTCCCCCTCCCGAACTGCACAGACAGCAGCTCCCCACCTCCTCTTTCTCCAGCTACTCCCTACCCCACAGCTAGAGATGGGCCGAAGTGTCCCAGAGGTCAGTGTGCTCGGCCTTCGAGAATCAGCCAACGATGACTGAATCTTCCTAGGAACGAAGCTTGTGCCACTCTGGGGGACAGCTACTCGCCCACGCCAAGGGGGACAGGGAGCCTGGGACATTTGCTCCACCCACCCAGGGGGACTGGGGGACCAAGGTTCAGAATAACTTGAGGGTGGAAGTCCTGGGAGTCTCCATGCGCCTTCGCTCTGAATTCCACGTACCATCAGTTCTTGGAACTTCAGCGCCTACTGTTTGCTCCCCAGCACTGCCGTGTATGCTCTGCATTAAGGTTTGTTTCCTGAGCTAGTGCACTGGGCTTTGCCGTATTACTGCTCTGGTTCCAACAGGCCGCCCCGTCAACGGTCCCATGCAGCTCCTCCGGCTCACGCGGGCATGGGTGTGTCCGTCAAGACTCCCCGGGGAGGGGTTTCCAGGATGCCCACAGGTGGCACCAATCGCAATGTTATTAGAATAGTTAAATATGTTGTACTAGAAAAACTTTGACCAACAGATGGTTTCCTTCAAGGGTTGGAATCTTCACAATTCCCTCAATGCTCCTGACAGCTTCCCCCGGTCACAGAAACTCAGGGCTGCCATATTGGATTCAAAGACCCATAACTTACTTGCCTACCTCCCTGCCTGCCTACCTCCCTAGCTATACAATAACTGTACACCTGGCCACCAAGCAATGTCTGGGCATCTAGCCTTCAGAACAACATGCTAATCAATCCCTAGCTCGAGCAGAGGGGGATAAAAAGGAAGAAGAAACGGGTCAAAACTGAAGATTCAGCCTCTTGAAAGCGAGGCTAAGTCCACTGGGAAAGACAGGGTATGAAGCAACAAAATGTCTGTCTCAGGAACATCCCCTTCCCCTCCCTTCTGCCTCCTCAACCTAGCACTGCTCTCACTTTCCTCCCAGGAGAGAGGGAGGAAGGCAGCAATGGAATGACAAGCCATTAACCCACCAGTTTAGGAAGCAGCACAATGCAATAGGGCTCAAATGTCTGTGAGATCCCCTCCTTGTCCCCCTTCATCAGGAGCAGGCCCCCTCCTGAAGACAGAGAAAGGAAGAGAAGTCTGCAGAGTGATGGGGAGGAAGGCAGAGGACTCTAAGGACAGTGTCCCCCCTGCTCTCCTTCCACTACATCTATGCTACCTACATGCACCAAACCCTTGAGATCTGCCCAATCACCATCTGCCTGATATGGCCAGTCTCTTCCTTCAGGCACCATCTCAAAGACCCCCGCTCTCTTTGGGCCCCTTTCCAGAGATCTGCAGTCTCCTAGAAAAAGGACATTTTTCCAGCACTGGGACCTCCCCTTGCAGCGGCCTCGCTGGGATCAGGCCTACAAGCTAATCTAGCTGGGCAACAAGGACCCTTGGATTCCAGCCATCAGCGGGCCCATCCATTCACCCTCTTTGTGCTAGCGATCTCTCTCTTGCTCCAGCCTCCGCCAGAGTCACTCGCCTTAGTGGCAAAAGAAGCAGGTTCCAACTCCTAACTCCCTCCTGCTATACGGCCTCCTCCCCGAAATGCAGCCACAGATCGCTTCCCCCCGTTAGTCACAAAGTTCTCAAAGGAAATCCCCATGTCCAGTGACAGGCTCTGAGCTCCTCAGTGGAAAAGCCACGTCCCTCAGTGGGGATTGGACAGGGCATAGGAGAGGCAGTTAAGTGTGGGAAGGGCAGGTGGGGCAAGGGAAAAGCATAAACTGAAAAAAGTCAGACCGAAAATGCCAAAGAGGAAGAGATGGAAAATTTACATATGTAAATTAGGGTGGGAAAACACAATCCTGTTGCCACTTCCCTATTACTTACTATTAAGCCACAAATGAATAATTAGAGGAACACTACTGAGTAAAAACTCCTGGGCCTGAGCCCGGATGGTGCGGGGAGCCCAAACTCCTACGTACTTCAGCAGGAGAGGACGACATTCATCACCTTTTATTTTGCTCCTTGGTGTGTTCCTGCATCTGAACTGACACTGTACGAGTCAGTTTCACGTTGGTTCTAGTCACTTTCACAAGGCTGGGCTGCAAAAGCTGCAGGGGCAGGAGAGCTCCACCCCAATTAAAAATATGCTCTCTCTTTAAAAGAACATGTATTTTAAAACTTAATTTTAAAAAATTATGAAAAAAACGTTTCCATTCAAGTTTGGACAACTCTCCCGACTGCCCCTTTAAATGACAAACCCTACATTTTGGACCTTCACTACCCAACAGTGTCCCTTTAAGCTGTACCCCAGCCATACCACCACCTTCCATTTTGTCACAGCCATGTGGCCAGATTTCAGCCAATGCGACACCCCTGAAGTCCAGGGAGTTGTGTGGTTCACACCATCGGTGGATTTGGCTAATGGGGATAACGTGAGGTGGGTTATAAGGTACCACTGTGGTGGATGGGTAGACCCCACTCCATTGCCTGCAGATAGGAACGATCAGGAAAGCAATGGGAGGCGATAGGGAAAGTTAATACCCTGCTAAACTGATCGTCCGGCTTTGGTCTAAGCTTTTCCTGCGTCTCTGCCATGAAGTCAGATGCCAAAGCATCGGCAAGAGCTGCTTAAAGCTTCCAGTCGCTTGGGATGTTTGAGAATTTCCTGGGTGATCCCACCTTTCCCAGCCCAGGGACTTTCCCCCCCAGGCCTCTCAGACTCTGCCTGGGTACAGCCATTATACTGCTGGTCTCCATAGCCTCTGAGATCTCTTTTCTCCAGCTGAGCCCCTTCCTGTCATTCTGCTACCTTCCTGCCCTCCCACCACCTGCTCTGACCTCCCACAGCCATGCACTTAGGATCCTCTTCTCTCAACTGGTTGAACACACGCTCCAAGGTGATGCACCCACATTCCCAAGGCCTGGGACACTGCCACGGGACCAACGCCCCCACACAAACCATAATGCCAGGCATACTGCTGTGGGTACCTCCATAACCGTAGCTCCAGGGACAGTGTTGCAGGATCACTGCACTCCTGAAACAAACACAGTGCTCAGTGCCATTGCTGTGATAACACTTTTTACAGTCACCATTCCCTCTTGCAACTAGCTGACGGGGACGTTACACACAAAGACCTGACCTGCGTCTCTGTGGGCCATGCTGGCTTTGCACATCGCCCACTGCAAAGAGTGGGGCAGAAGAATTCTCCCTTTCCCTTGCCTGTTTCCAGACCAGACCATGCCTTGTTGGATAAACCAGGCAGCATCCACTTTCTCATCCCACTCTGAAAGGCCATTTCAGCACCACCCACTCATCAGAACGAAGCCAGGCAGAGCTGGGCCGGGACGCACGATCATTTATAGCTGAGCAAGGAGGTGCATCTGGGTATTAAGAAGGGGTTGTCGGTCGACGTGGCAACATGCTGCTCTAGGACGGCATGCTGAGAAAGGCACACAGGCGGTAGGCCTCAGGAACGACGAAGGCCAAGTCTTTCCCCTTCCAGCTCTGGATGAGCCCCTCCTTTCGCTCTATGGTTTCTTCTTCTTCTTTTTTTAAAAAAAATTGTTCCTAAGTAGAAAACATCTTTGATTGTGAGTCAGTCTTTTTGGCTTTTCTTTTTCTCGTTTTCAAAAGACTTCCACCGAGGCATCCTGCATGGGCAGCTTCTCTGCAAAGGCCTCTCCCCCCCCCCCCAAGCCCCACCCATCCCACAGGGCCTCTAGTCTTTGACCAACTTGTACACGTGGTGTTGGGCGCCATGCTCGCTGGTGGATACCTCAAAAACAAAGGCTATACAGAGCAAGGTTTCCTGGGTATCCCTATTCGTAACAACCTGGGTGGATAGGAGAGAAAGAGGAGTCAGGAGAGTCCAGAGATGGGTTCTGTGTTATCTTGTAAGGGACAGTTTTACCATGTGGATAATTTATTTTATAGATCTGTATCCACATGTATGTACACACACACACACACACCCCCTGAGTCTCCGCTGGCTTGTACCTTGTGAAGCCACTTACCCCAGTACAACATAGGTGAAATCTAGAGCTGGTGCAAATGCCAAACTTTTGTTTCATGGGACATTTTTGACACTTTACAATTTGTTTTCGTTCTGAACCGGAACAAAAACAAATGTTTTCAAAACTTCCCATGAAACAGAAATTCCGCCCCCAAAAAGTAGTGTTGGAAAAATGTTGAAATTTTATTTCAAAGTGAAATTTTTCTTTAGAAATGTATATGATGTTTAAAATGTTTTTAATATTACTTTTTTTTTTTATATTAGTTCTGATAAGACATGTAAGAATCTATAACGACATGTGATGTCAGATTAGGCTATGACTTGACATAGCGTAGCATATTTTACACTATTAGTACCGGTCATGAAATAATGTGCAAATGATAAAATCTACAAATAAACAAATACATTTCAAAACAAACATTTCCAAAAGAAATTTCATTTGGAAAATAAATTTTCAGTGGGAAATGGCATTGAAATCGACACAATTTCTCAGAAAATTTCAGTTTTATCTAAACAGTATTTGTTTTGAGGACTATTTTGTGACCAGCTCCAGTGAATTACGTGTATCGGGGTACACAGCTGCATATATATTTATTAATATGGGTGTCTCTATAGTGTCTAGTCACATTACATTTTAACGTATTTTATACACACACGCACTTTAGAAGGATAAAATTCGTGTGAACAAAAAAGGATTAACCCGCCTCACCCCCCCAAAAAAACCTCTCTCAAAATCCAGTTGTGATTTTCCCTCAAACTTTCCCCAAAGTGCCACCTCGGCACAAGATGTGGCCTGTAAAAATTCTAGGTTCTAGGAAAGCTGGTTCGATCAGGAAATGGCTTTGAAGAAATTAGAGCCTGTGTTTTCAAAATAATTTTAGGTGCCCAACTTGAATCACCTTAAACAAGCCTGATTTCCAGAGGGCAGGTGCTCAGCACTGTCTGACTATCGGGGTTCTTTAAGGCAACCCAAGGAGTGCACCCAGAATAACTAGTCACTTCTGAAAGTTTAGGCCCTGGTCTATAACGGGGGGGACATCTTCAGTCTTAACCATGCGGGGGAGGGGATTTGCACCGACATGCAACAAAGGGTGGTCATATGATTGTGGTCATCAGTAAGTCATGCGTCACTTATGAATGGTGAGCCTGGAAGTGGAGAATGGGGATGGAAGAAGAAGAAAGGAGGCAACGTCGGGTACCTGCAGGATGGTGAAATTCTCCAGGACGCTGTTCATCATGTACTTCTCCGGGAGATGCTTGAGTTTGTGGATGAAGTTGATCATGTATTCGCACATGGGGGATCGATGGATTCGATAGACAAACCGGCCATTCTCCAGCCGTGCGTACTCTGTCTGCAGAAGAATAGATCCAGGTGCTCAGTGTTACTACACAGTTAGCACGTGGCTGCTGTCAGAGTGTGCAAGGGAGCGTGCGGGAGTAGGAGCATGCAGGACGGACGATGTAGGTAGCAAAGACACTGGGATCTGCAGCATGAGTCTAAGCGAACTGGGATAATATCACTGCAGAAGGCTGAAATTTACTAGCTCAGGTACTAGATGCTCCCAGATCTGTTTAAGGAGCAGCTTTCATCCAGCTATTTCCACTCAATCGTGCCTTTAAGGCTGTTAGCTCTTTGGGGCTGGATTCTGTTAGCATCTGGCACATTTTACCTGTGACACAGCACTGCACGTTCCTATGATAATTAATAACGGCACAGATCTCTATTAATTCAGCTCTGAATTCCCAGGAAGGTAGGTACCCTCCCCATTTTACAGATGGAGAAGCGGAGGCACAGAGGGACAGTGACTTCATCAAAGGACACAGGGAGCCAGTTGCAGAACTGGGAATGGAGGCTTGACTCACCGGCTCGTGCTCTAGCCACTAGCCCGCACTCCCTCATGGGCGTGGGACTCACCTCTACCTTCTCGACGACTTGCTTCCCAAAGGAGCACACCTTGGTGGAGACAGTGACGGTCATGTTCTCTGCGCTGCTGTACTGGCTGCTCACGCCATAGAAGGTCCCAGGACCGTCCTGGATCGTGCTGTTCAGATCCGCCTAAAGCAGAGGGAAAGGGAGGGCGTTACCAGGAATTGAGCTAAGCTTTGGCTGGAGGCGGGAAGGTCCAGAATGTGGAGCTTTCAGGGACAGAGACCTGGAGGTAAAAAAAAGTCACTGATTTACAGAAATACCATCTTTCTCGACGGACTGAAGGCACAGAGAGCATGTCAGCCCCTCCTGAAATGCAACTACGTCTGGGGAGAAAGACAGAAGCTGTTGAACAGCGTGCTGCAGGAGTGCATGCTAGGTTAGGATAGGAAGCAGAAAATACCATATAAGCCACTGCAGCCGGGCTGGGGAGAGAACTGAGGGACGCAGGAGGTAGTTACCTCTGTTGGCATTTGGCCAGGACATCAGAGCTAAATACCTCTGCTCTTGCAAACACTGCTGCCGGATATGAAAACCAAGGTCCTCACCCTTGAGGCCGTTCCTGTCTCAGGAGGACACAGTACCGACAACGCTAAGAGGTCAGAAATCTGGATTCAGACCCACCCACCCCGCCCCAAACCAGGAGACTTTTAAAAGATAGCGTGTGTTTTGGTCGGTCTTGATTTTTGAACTCCCTCATGGTGCACCAGCGTGTGTGGGGTGGAGGCAATTAGTGCAGCTAGCTCCCCCAAACGTATAGAGGAAGGAGATTTTTGCCCCCCTGTGGGAGACACGTTGCTCCCTGATGGCTCAGAGCTTCCAGCTTCTCTCCAACCCCCACATTCTAACTCATTAATTTCATGCCTCCCTGCTCCCCACCACCTGCCCCTCCTCCAGCTCAGCAATTAATTACGTGGCCCTCCCCTCCCAGCCCCCACATCAGTTCTGCCCTCCCTGCAGCTCCAAAGGCTCTTCTCCTCCCGCTCCTGGGCCTGGGGGGGAGGGAGGGCGACTGGAATGGGCACCTCTTCTCTCTGTTCCCAGGCTGGAAGGGGGATACAATTCCAGGGGCTCTTCATGCCCCCTCTTCCCAGGCCCGGGGTTGCAGGCAGAGAGGGACAGAGAGCAGACTGACCCACTGCTTACAGGATGAGGGACGGTCTCCCTCCTGTGCCAACAGTGTCGGCTGTGCCTTTGTTCCCCACCCCCTCCACACTCGTTGAGCAGGGCTGACGTTCCAGTGAAGGCTGGAGCCTTGGGGATCATGGGGAGACTGGCTGCAGTGGGAGGCAGAAGCACGTGGCTGAGGCTGAAATGGCAGCTTTGAAGATGGCACGTCACTGAGTTCAGCAGTGCCTTAGAGGGAAGAGCCCCCTGCCAACACAGCCCCCCTCCCAGCACTGCACTGACTTGGGAAGGAAGTGTGCCCATCTTCCGACTCACCCACACCTGTTCTTGCCGTTTCTAGTGACCCTGGAAGATCTCCCACCCAAGCCTGGACCCAACCCAAGCTGGTGTGGCTTGTAAGGACAGGCAGCATCACCCCCGAGGTGATACGGCTGATAAAAGCCCCTGCATGTCTGTCCACAGCTGCCAGCTGCCACCCTGGCTTCTGCTGGGGAACAAACTTCTTCTGGCTCAACTCAGATCATTGTACAAACAGGTTTGCCAGCTCCTGCCCACCACAGTGTGTGGGAGCATCTGCGAGGGGCTCTAGACACACAGCTGGGCATTGTGGGGAGGGTGGGAGCATGGTTCTTACCCAGAACTTGACAAGGAAGAAGGAGTTCTGGGGTCCTCTCTCGTAGAGCTCCTTCAGGCCCCCCTTCTTCTCAGGGAACTTGTCATAGATTTGACGGATGTCCACGGCCTCCAGCAGGGGGTCGCTGTATGAGGGGTTCGTCTGCCCGATGTGCACGAAGAGGTGTTTGCTATACTGTAGAGGAAGCAGGAAGGGTCAGCGATGTGGGAGCTATCATCGGTTGCCCTAGATGCATGCACACCACGGAACCACAGCCACTACGGTGATGCTGTGTCAGACGCCGGAACCCAGAGCCCTCCAGCCTCCCATCACCGCCTGGGCTAAGAGATCACAGGGACCCAAGCTATGCCTAGAATCATTCTCCACTCCCCTCTGCTGCACAGGGGCATAGGAGGGACAGCTCTGGGGGACACCAGACTTGTCCCTGGGCACCGATGCTTGGTGCTAAGAAGCATAGGGACAGCAGAAATGTCCCCTCTGCTCTCTGGGATCCCCATCCCCGTCAGTCTATTTGGAAGGGCAGGGTGAGGGGTCAAAACTCCCAGCGCCCCCCACAGGGTTACCGTTTCAGCATCCCGCGGCACCTCCATGAACGCTGAATACTCCAGGAGCCGCAGCTTGGCGGAGGCGATGGTGCGGTCCTGCCAGACGGGCACGGCTGAGGCAGCCGGTGGGAGAGGAGCCAGGGGCTCGTAACCTAGAACGGAGAAGGAGAGACCATCCAGCAAGCCATGGGATAACCCACCACTCCCCTGGGGAAGCTCAGGGAAACCTGTGCCCGCAACGTCGATGCGGAAAGAGATCTGGCAGGTCTCCGCAAGCCCAGCCGCCCTTCCTCCTAGCCGACGCTGGGCTGGTTTCCTATGCTAAGGGCAGGTCTAGATGGCAGGTTTGCTGTGCACTGACTTGACATGCAGTACGTAAGCTGCGGTGACAGCATGAACATGGACAGCGGTTTCCATCCGCATCGTAGCGCACACACGATAACTTGGAGCGCCGTAAGAGCGGGGCATTTGGCGGGGACCTCCAGCCTGGCTCTAGAAGTGTCATGCAAGGGGGCTGCCAACCCCCTTCCTTGGGGGCCTAGTCCAGTGGCAGACACACACACTTCTCTATGTGGTCTACCACTAGAGAGGGATACAGAGCCACAGCTCGTTAGCATTGCCAGGAAGCTCCCCCGGCGTACAGCCCAGTCCGACTCTCGGCCTGCCCACGCTGACCCCCCGTGGTGCTGACTCCCTTCGGATATGTGAGACCCACATCAGCTCCAGACCGAGGTCTGCGCGTTTAAGCCTTTCGCTCTTTCTGTGAACACTGGGGGAAAACAGAGGCCTGTCCCACCAGGGAAATCCCCCACTCTCCCATCCCTGCTAAGATGGTCAACTTCTGGGGACGGGGGCTGACGGTTATTTAAATTACACACACGCACAGCACCTAACACCACGAGGCTTTGATTCTTGATCGAGGTGCGTCAGCACCGCAGCACTGTCAATAACAATTGCCCTCCCTTCCCCTAGAGCAGTGGTTCCCAACCAGGGGTATGCTGCCCCTGGCGTACGCAGAGGTCTTCCGGGGGTACGTCACATAATCCAGCTATTTGCCTAGTTTTACAACAGGCTACAGAAAAAGCTCTAGCAAAGTCAGTACAAACTAAAAATTTCATACAGACAAGAACCTGCTCTATACACCATACTCTGAAATATAAGCACCATATTTATATTCCAATGGATTGATTTTATCGTTACATGGTCAACATGAGCAAGTCAGCCATTTCTCAGTACTCCTGGCTGTGACGCTTTTGTATGTTTATGTCTGCTTTTGTAGGCAAGTCGTTTTTAAGTGAGGTGAAACTTGGGGATACGTCAGACAAATCAACCTCCTGAAAGGGGGACAGCGGTCTGGAAAGGTTGAGAACCACTGCCTTAGAGGAACACTGGTCTTGGCTACCAGCCCTCCTGGGATCTGTTGTGGCTAACTGGTCTTCCTGGCTAATGAGATTACACTTTGTGATAACGGGGGATTTCCACCTGTGTTTCTTGTTCAATATGTAACAACGCCGCTGGCTGGGTTACCCACAAGGGTTGAACCTAGGACTTCTGGAGCCAAGATTATGAGCCTCTACAGCGTGGGCTAAAGAACAGACTCCCTTACCTTGGAAGCAGTAGCAGACTCACTAACCTCTATATGTGGTCTAGCCACAAGGGAGGGATAAAGAGCCACGCTGTGTTACCTTTGGAAAGGCTGAGGGGTCAGTGGGTGTGCTGGGAGGCTGCTTTATTTCTGGGCCCACCGGGTGGCAGAGCGTTGCTCATAACAGAATTAAACAGGGCAGGTTCTCGTCTCAGTGGACTGCGGAGACTCAGGATCAGGGGCAGTCTTGGGAGCTTTGCATCCTGGTGAATTACAGACTATGATACGGAGGTGACACCCTAGTATCTTAGGCTTGGGGCAGGTGGGGGACCAGTTCTCAAGGTGGCAACTCTGATGCAAAAGAGACAATTCTGCTGTCAAGTGTGAATCCCTGGTGCAGGAGGTGATGGAAAGAGGAGGAAACAGCCCCTCAGAAGTTAGAGCTCGGGCGGCCATAGCAGAAGGACACAGAGATGCATATGTGAACATGCACATGAGCAGTGGGCAGAAGCTGGGGTGGTGGAGTTTTCCTCTGGGGGAGGGGCCAAGGGCAGGGCAATTAAGGCAAGCAAACGAATATCTCTGCGCCTCCAAGAGGCGATGCGGAAGAGGTGAAAACCTGGCCACCAGTGAAAGTGACCCACTTACTGGCTAGTGATGGAGGCATTGGTGGCTGGATGGGGTAGGCTGGTTGTGCAAATGGTTTAATGCTGAAAAACAAAGTGCATCGTTAGGCAGGTTAATGCGAATCTCGTTTATAAAGCGTCCTCCCACCCCCCTGCCCCACCTCCTCTCCGTACGGAGCTTCCTGGACAATTAAGACAAGAACATCTATATCCAAATCCACACAGTGTGCCTCTGCGCACGCACACAGAGAGCAACTGCTAATTCTCATCTCCCTACATCTGCCTGCCCCGCTCTCTCCTCCCCAAATGAAGAGGCCTTCTGTGCCCCTCCCACCACTCTCCCCCAGCAACTGGGATATGTCCAATCCTCCCTCCCGACACACCCCCTTAGTCTAGTATAAATGCAGCTCATCCGGAGGCCCACATTCTCAGTGCACACAGCGATCAGCCAGACACCAGCGCTGGCCGGACCCCAGAGATCATCAGGAGCAAGTCATTAGCAGCCAGATGTTGGTGGATCATCGCCACAGCCCCAGGCCAGAGATACAGCAGTCCTTCATCCATCAACACACTCAGCCTGGGCAGTGGCCAGACAAATGTTCCCCACCCCCCACCCCAGAGGTAGTGGGGAGTTCTGCACACAGGTTTCTGACCCTCTCCTGACTACACGGGAGCCGGCTGCATGCATCAGGTTGTTCTCCACACACTGCTCACATGCAGATTTAAAAACATGCACACCAGTGATTTGCCTAAGCTGGCAGAGTTGGGCATAGGACCTAGGAGACCTGGCCCCCCAGTCCCTGCTCTCCCTGTAACAGCACACTGCTTTCCTGACCTCTGACTGACACAGGAACTTGAGGGGAGAAAACCAAGTCATATTAAAGCATCAGCAGCCATAAATACGGTCTGATTGAGACTTGAGGTGCCTCTTTACTTACTCCTGAGAGGGTCCAGGCTGTCCTGGGATAGACCCGCTCCAAAACTGGGGAAACAAAAGCACACACAAAGGAACAGTCAGGGACTTAACAGCAGCACATCCCAACACCCTACGACACATCTTACTGCAATTTGAGCAGGTTACTAAACAGCTCGAGGGGCTTTAAGGTTACACAGCAAGTCTACAGCCAACCTGGAAACTGCGTCTTCGGCAAGAAATCCTCTAGGGGAACGCCGTAGCTGTGAGCTCCCCAAGGGTCAAGTCTCCTGTCCCTTTCCTCAACAAAGCCGCCTTTCGAGACAGCCTAGGACTGGAGTAGCTGTGAGCTTCCTTGCAGCCACCCCTCCCCTGCTGTTCCCTGTATCAAGTCCCAGTGTGGCAGGTGAGCCTGCAACCTCCTTCCTAGATAGTGTTCCTAGCTCATTCCATGTGGCAGATCCTGCTGGGCTGGGAACACAAGGAGAGCCTTCTTCCACCTGGGGAGAGCAGAGTCCCTTACCCTGGGGGGAGCAGAGAAGACCGCCTGAGGAAGAGGAGGAGGAGGGCTGAGTTTGTTCTGCAGGACGCTGGCGGATACTATCTGTGCGGATGACATGGAGGCCATACTCTGAAGGGCCTTGTCCTTCGAGACCTGGTCCTTTGAGAGAGGAGAGGAGGAACAGAAAGCATGGTTACCAACCCAAACTGACAGGGACGCAGACAGACTGACCCTGATTACCCCCTTCAGTGCAAAGGAGCCCAATACACTTTACAAACTGGATCTATACACGCAAAGGGAGCCCTTCAACTGCCCCTGAAATGCAGCCACCTCTGGGGTGGAGCATGGCAGCTGTTTATCATTGCCATGCATTGTTACACAACAGTTTAGGACAGGAAGTCACGGAGAATAATGAAACAGCAGGGAGAACTTGGGAAGGAGAACAGAAACCACCCCCCCCCCCACCCAGACTGGAATTTGCTCATGTTAACATCCCAAGGGATTGTCGAGCACAAGTGGCCCGGGCCTCGGTTTTAAGTCTCACGTGTGAGAGGGCACCTTTAGCAGTACTGGTTGGGTCCTGACTCAGAGAGAAAACACCCCCCCCAACGAGTCACTGATACCAGGGATTTTTCCTTGGGGGCGGGGGGTCTCAGTCCATGGGAGAGGGCCAGGGAATATTAAAGGGATAAAGAGAAGTTTAAAGAAAGTAACTGCAAACTCAAGCACTACTTACCAAGTTCATGGCCTGTACGTAAAAGAAAGGAATAGCAACGGTTAGTATGTTTGCAACAATCCCAGAGCAGAGGCTCGTCTGCACCCTTATAGGAGTCATTAACATACTGACCCTTCGAAGAACCAAGGAAAGACGGGTTTGACTTTGGAAACAAACCAGATCTAAACCTGGGTGGTTTCTAATGGACCTGGTCTCCCTGGGAATGGGCACAACAGATCCGTGCGGGCTGGTAACCTCTTCTCAGTTAGGCCCCACTGAGTAGCGCACGGGCCGCCAGTGAAATACCAGAATAGGCTGCACTCGTACGTGAAGCTGTGGATAGGGAGCCCCGGGCTGGCTGGGCACGAAGCAACCTTACCCAGCTCACACATGTACATGTGTGACGTATGCACCAGCAACGGTTCTATATGTGCACACAGCAGAAAGGTGGGGAATGAGATGTGCATGGCTGTATGCAAACAGGGGCGCTGGAGCCATTTTTATAGTGGGGGTGGTGAAGGTGGAAACCATGTACTTGGTTGGGAACTGAGTGGATGTGCGCATGTAGATCTGAGCGGGGATAGGAGCGGGAAGAGTGCTGGGTAGAGGGGATTTAAAGGGATGAGTAGGAGGAAATGATTCTCAGCTGTTTTACGACGGATTGATTTGTGAATTTCCAGGCCTGCACATAGATCCTCATTTGGGCTATTGGATCTTCTGTGTTTTGAATATAATCAAGCCTTTCCCATTCACCATCTCTTAAAAGTTTTAAAGCTGGCAAAGTGAAATGAGAAAACAGGCATCAAAAATAACCTCTGCTTATCATGCTCAGCTCCAGGGTCATTGGGAAGGAGCCATAGGAGGGAGAGGGTTAAAACCAGGAAATCAAAGTGGCCACATTTTCAGACGGGCCCAGTGCAATGGTTGCGGAACACTAGAAAATCTGTCCCTAGATGTCTGTGTGTTTATATGAGGCAACTGGCAAAAGGAGCAAGGTTTCCTTTTAGCAATAACTATTTGGCTCACTCAGCAGGAACAGAGGGTTCTGCAATCTTTCCCAGCACATCTGTGGTCATCCTAGCGCAGGGGTTCTCAAATTGGGGGTCGGGACACCTCAGGGGGTCACGAGCTGTCAGCCTCCACCCCAAACCCCGCTTTGCCGCCAGCATTTATAATGGTGTTAAATATATTTAGAAGTGTTTTTAATTTATAAGGGGGGCGGGGGTCGCAATCAGAAAGGGGTCACCAGTAAAAAAGTTTGAGAACCACTGTCCTAGTGTGCTTATTACATATGTATGCCCTGATCATCAGATCATATATTGCTTTTCCGCCTCAGAGCTTAACTTGAGGCTTGATTGGCCAATTCATTTTGAACCAATTTTAAGAGCCCCCAGAGACTCAGGAGATGGATGTATTTTAAAAATCAATATTACACAGTCCTGTACGTGGGGAGCATAAAAGCAACGTGCACGGACACACGTTTGAGGCATAGTGAGAACTGAAAGGCTGTATTCAAAGAGGATCACAAAATGGAGATACGGCTGTTCCACACAGAGGCCCTTTTGGCCCTTTCAAAATTGCCCTCAAGTGCCCCTTGTAACGGAGTAAGCAGGGCTTGTTAAGTACAGCCTCCTTCCGCACCAGTTACTGAGAGTCCCCAGGGGCAGAGGAGTTACTGTCCTTATGGAAAAGTCAGATGGAATTTAATAGGGACTAAATTGATAGGGAGCTATAGAAATGACTCCCAAACCCTATACTAGAATTGAACAGCAAGCCAGAGCCTCTCTCTAGGTTCTTTTGAACAATCCTCTAGACTCTACAGTAGGGACAGAATTCCCTATTAAATTCTACAGGGATTTTCTGCCTGGACTTGTTAAATGGGACAGGAAGACAGAGGGTACTGGAACAAACAAATGCATATGGACCAGCAGAGAGATTTCTCCGTCACCTGGGAGCGGCCCCTGCGCTGTGCAGGCTAATCATAGTTATTGCACTATTATGGTGCGTTCTTCCCCTCTGTTTGCGGCATCCACCTGTTGTCTCTCGTCTCCTACTCGAGCTCTTCAGGGCAGGGTCTTTTAGTTAAGCGTGTGCACGTGTGCCGTGCCTGGCACAATGGGGCCCCGATGCTGGGGCTCCCACAAAACAAAATGAACAACAACCACCAAAGGAGGAACATCCTGATGAGAACTTTCGTTTCAGCTTCAGTTGCAAAACCCCTCCCCGCACCCTGCCTTGTGACACCACCCCACCCACATGTGCCTCTGGCACCCAGCAAACAACAATACAGAGAACACACAGTGGAAACGGTTACTGAAAGGTTAGTCAAACTCCACTTAGAAAGAGGGAAGGAGAGAAAGAAAAGCCAACCAGAGAAGAGACAACATTCCAGTTTTATCCTTGCTCTGCTCCCTTGGCTCCTGGATCCCTAGCATGACCTGTAGGCAGCCAGAATGAACTGGAGCAGGGTCTCCATGGGAAGCCCCCAAAGCTCCTGGCTGAGTATCCCTGCACTAGCGAGTACGCCCCACCGTATGAGCCCTGTGGCTCAAATATCCCCCACCCGGCATCTCCCTGTGCTGGTCCCACAGCCCAACTGTCCCCCTACAGACTAGAAGCACAGGCCCCAACACCCCCGTGTCTCCTTATGGGGAGGGGTGAGGGGCAGCGTCACAGTGTGCGGGCCCCATAGCCTGAGCAGCCCAACACCTTCTGGGCCAGAGTGGCCCACGCAGCCTGAGTGCACTAGAACCAGCTGGGACAGCATCACTCTGCACGGCCATGGGACCAACTCATGAGCATCAGCATCTGCTGGGGGAGCATCACCCTGCAAAGCCCCTTGCTCCGGGCCCCCAGCCTCAGCCACAGGTGTGGGCTCTGCATCTCATTCCCGCCCCTTGGACGTTATGGCTTCAACTGGGGAGGTGCCCAGCATGCTGTCCTGACCCCCTAGCCCAGTGCTACTAAACTCGTCTGGAGCAGTACCTAGCTAGGTTAGGCTCCAGCCTGCACTGCTCCCTCACCGTCCTGCAGTGGCCAACTTCTGATGCATCTCTGCAGCCTGGGGGAGGCCCTGACTCTCCCAGCTACAGGGAAACATGCAGAGCCTTGCCCAGCGCAAGAGCTTGTGGGAAGGAGGAAGAGCACTAAGGGGAAAGCCTAAGAGCCTTGCTCGCTATGTTACTGACTTTGGGATACTCAGGCTCTGGCCAGCCCTTGCAACCTACCAACCCTACACTCCCCGCTCCATGCAAAGCAGGTCCCAACATGGGCAGAGCGCTCACCATCCTGCAAAGGGCACACGGGAGGAGGTTCTCCAGGGAGGCCTCTATCTGACCTCAGGAGCTTCCTAGCTAGACTCTCCAGCTGGAGAGATCCTGTTGCAGTCTCTTCCTGCCACCCCTTCCCCAGGGAGTGTCTGGTTCCAGGAACGAAGGGAGTCGGGGAAAGACATAAAAAGGAAAGAGAAAGCAGCACACCACAGAGCTGAGTGTGTTAGTTGTCAGCACGGCCACTGCTCGGGGGCAAGCGGGAGGTGGGGGGAAGCCGGGGAGCGCGTACCTTCAGCTTGGACTGAATCTCGCGAGATTTCCGTCTGGCTAGAACCTGCAAGTGGCTAGAGACCTGCAGAGAGAAAGCAGAAGGAGAGGGGAAAACAGCAGAGCCGTCAACCAGAGCAGAGGAGAGGAAGGAGAGGGGCTGCCCCATGCTCACACACCACGGACGCATGGGCAGGGTCTCCAACGTACCTTAATGCCAACCTGGTACTCCCGCACCTTCTTCCGAGCTAGAACCTGTATATGGCTGGACACCTAATGCCCGCCAAGCCGTTCAAAAAGGAAAACACAAAGAGAATGAAGACATGATCCCGCACTCCGCTGCGCTCGAGATACACGGGGCCAGCCTGGGGGTCAGCGGAGGCTCCTGGCCTGGCCGAGGTTCTGGAGAACTAGCACTCCTCCTACGGAACGCGAGCACCAGTGGCCAAAAATATTGGGCCAGATCCTCAGCTGGTGTAAACGTTACACCGGTTTAGGCCAGCCGAGGGTCTGGCCCATAGAGCAGCATGTGCCCCGCGAGCACACCCCTCTCGTTTCATTTTGCAGTGTGGTTCTAACTCTGCAACCAACGGTGGTGTGGACGCCAAGGCTGTTGGCGGCTTCTAAGCAAAGGGGGCACACATCTGACCGACATAGAGATGGTTTCTCTAACCGCCAGCCTGGCACGCTCAGCCCGGGCTCTTTCCTTCTCGTGCGTCACTGTCATGGAGGGAGTTTCTGAAAGGCAAATTTTGCCCTTCCACACGGCCATGCCAATCCATGCCTGGCGGGATACGGCCCTGCAATTGCAGCACAGCTAATAATTCCACGGAAGACGCAGGAGCTGGAGCAGACTCCGGCAGGCTCCCCAACCTCTCTGTGAATTGTGCTGTGCAAAGAGGAGGAAAAACGTCGGCAAAAATTTTCAGGGCCAGGTTCACTCAAAAAAGTGAAGTCGACCCAGCTACGTCACTCAGGGCTGGGAAAAATCCACCCCCCGGGGCAACGTCGTTATGCCCCCCTGGCCCCTGGTGTAGACAGTGCTTGGCAGACAGAAGAATTCTTCCATCGACCTAGCTACTGCCTCTCGGGGAGGTGGGCAGGGATGGTGTCCCTCGCCTCTGTTTGCCAGAAGCTGGGAATGAGCGACAGGGGATGGATCACTTGATGATTCCCTGTTCTGTTCACTCCCTCTGGGGCACCTGGCACTGGCCACTGTTGGAAGACCGGATACTGGGCTAGATGGACCCTTGGTCTGACCCAGTCTGGCCGTTCTTATGGATTAACTACACTGACAGAACCCCTGGCATCATTGAGTGTCCACACGGAAGCGCTGTCAAGCGTAGACAAGCCCCAAGTCTGGGCATTTAAATAAAAGGCGGCTGCTTTTGTGAGAATCCACAACCCTCACTGAGGCCACTGAGAGCTGTCAACCCTGGAAAATCAGGTGCATGCAGTGTCGTTATAGCTGTGTTGGTCCCAGGGGGGCGAGGTGCTAGGTTTTATCGGACCAACTTCTGTTGGTGAGAGAGAGAAACTTCCAAACCACACAGAGCTCTTCTCCAGGCTTGGGAAAGGTACTCCGAGCATCACATCTAAATACCCGGTGAAACAGATATGCCCTTAATACAGGTTAAAGAGAGCATTCAAGGGGAAGCGGGCATCAAGTGGGGAGTTAGGAACCTCTCTTGGGTCACCCAGAGCTGGAAATTTCGGCCTCATCTGTGTCATGCTACGGAGCAGGCAACACTGAATCCAGCCTGGGAGCAGGTCTGTGCAGCAAAGTGGCGTCATTTCCCACATGCTCCCTTCTGACCATCAGCTGCCCCTACATCCTGCTCTCTTGCATCTAGTCCCAGCCCCTAGGCTGCTTCTTCAGCGCAGAGACGGTCTGCTGTGCATCGAGGTGCCTTTGACACATGGAGGAACATTTCTGATGGAGATCACCAGGTTCAGTTTGCTCTTGGTTCAAACCTCTGTCTCCAGAGGGAGCCAGTGAGGGCTGCACGCTCCCTAACAAAATTCCCCTCTATTCATCCGTTCGAGCGGCACCTTCCCCTGCCCCCCCCCACCTACTGCCAAGCCCAGATAAGTTTTCAAGGGATCATTTCAAACATTTAACACACAGGAAAAGTTCTACTACATGGCGCCAATGTGGCCTTCAGTCTATCCATGTCTCTAGACAGCCCTCCCCCCAGTAGGATCCAAGCACCTTATTATCAATCAATATGTCTATCTACGGTGCTTATACTGCCCCCATCAATGCAGTAGCAATCACTCATGGATTTTATCCTTCCTGGGAGGTAGAGCAGTGCTGTTATTCCCATTTTACAGATGGGGAGCTGAGGCACAAGGGTAGATTAATGATTTGCACAAGGTGTGTGTGTCTGAGCTGGGGATCGAACCCTTGTCTCCTAAATCCCAGTTCATTAGACTGTCCTGCCCCCCATCACAGCTCCTCTTGCCAGCCAGTCTAGAGCTACCTGTTGTCACAAGCCAGCGGGGAGCAAAGGTCAGATTTCCAAGTTCCTTTCCCCCTCACATTGGCAGGAACCCCGCTACAAACCATAGCCAGTCACAGCACCAGTGACCCGCTCTTCTAATCCCATCACAGTGCATGCACTGGACACAGCCAGAGGGACTTTCTCGCATGGGGAGCAGCAGGATGGCTGTTGGCAACCAGACCTGTTGCAAATGAAAAGAGCCTCTTCAAGGCTTATGGACAATCAGCTCCGTCCCTGGACTGGTCCAGAAGCACTCACTGACATGGTCATGGAAATGGATACAGGACTCCTGCTCCCTTGGTGCCACGAGGCAGGTAACACCCCAGAGCTCCCACAGCAGGTGTGATTCGCTGCCAGCTGATTTTCAATGCTGCCCTGGCGCTCGTCCCCAGTTCTGCACACCTCACCCAATACAATGAATGAGGGCAAGGAGCATGGGGCTGGCTGGAGGGAGGGGATGCAGGTAGCCAGTGGGAACAAGGAGCTCTATGATTCCCCTGCCACTGAGCCTTACAACAGTCTGAGCTTCTGGTGGGGGTGGGAGAGAGCTCTTTGCCCATGCCCACGGCTGACAGGACAGATTTCTAGTGCATCAGCACTGGGGTATCTGAGGCACCTGGGTTATACAAGTGCCCCCTGTCCTGGTAAAGAGTACTGGCAGAGAGGGGCTCTAGAACTGGATCTAGAAGAGAGGGGTGAAAGACGCAGGATTTCACTAGAGATCTCACACACCAGTGACCGTTCAGAGCTGGAGGCTGGCCTGGCCTAGTAGGAAGAAAGGGGCGATGTGCATAATTCAGATCCAGGTTTGAAACTAGAGGTGTTTGGGTTCAGGCCCAGATTCCTCCAGAAGCGATAGGGCCGGGTGTGTATAAAACAGGAAGACCCCATGAGCCCTAGGCCCAATCACAAGCCAAACCCCAAATCAAATGACTTTTGAAGGTTCAATTAACACTCCCTATGCCCCACTCGCCATCACAGCTCCCCCCAGGAGGGGAGGCGGTCATGTCGCTGCCCCATGCAGAGGGCTGCTCTTGGGACGTGGCTGGGCCCATCGGGACTCTCAGGAGGCTCAGGGATGGGCGACGCTGGGCTATGGAGGCACACACCGGAGGGCCGATCCCAACGGAATCCCAAACTCCAGGGGTTCTGACACCTCACGGTGGGACGTCAGCAGCCGGGAACCGCGGGATCTTAGCACAAGAGCCTCTACTGCACCAGCTAAGAGAGGCTGTTAGCCATTGCTGCAGGAGACTCATCAATCTCTAGTTGGCCTGGCCACACCCAGAGGACCATAGAGTGCCACGCTGGCAGGCACAGTGTACAGGAGGCTCACCCAGCCCCGCTTGCCCAGCGAGCTGAAGCCCACGGGAGGAGATAAGACGACTGTGCAGGAACAGATCAGTTCCTGGAACTCAAGCATCCGATAAGCAGTGGGGTGGTGGTGGGGGTCTCAACGATCACTATCCCTCCCTTTGCTGGGCTGTAGCAGCTCCCAGAGAGCTTGACTAGCTGTATCCGAGCCCCATAACCTCCCCCGTGACACAGCTCAGCGTGATCCTCATTGCACCTATAGGGAAAAAGGGGCACAGCGAGGGGAAACGTAAGACGTGCAGCAAGCCAGCGGCAGAGCTGGAAGTGGAATCCAGGCATCCGGACTGCCACACAGTCCCTCCTCGTCCTCCCAGGGCGCAACGACAAGCCGAGCGGAGCGAGCCAGACTCCCAGCACTGTCCTCGAGGTCGAGCCTATCAGCCAAAGGTCTCACACTCAGACACTTTCTTCAAATAAAGTAAAGCAGGGTTTTTTTACCTGTTTTCTCGTCCGTGTTTTCCCCGTCCGGAGCTTGATGTATCTCGCTATCAATTCATTGCGACCTAGAGCAAGCCAAAGTAAGAACAAGACTAAGAGCAGAGTAAGAACAAGATCAAAGCAGGAGCATCTTGCCAGGTCCTCTGCCCTGCCCCCGACACTCAAACACTTCTCTTCCCTAGTCCAAGTGGAGCCTTCCCCCCACATCCCAGCCCTGGCCTAACCAAGGTTTCTCTCCAAGCCACATGTCAAGTGACAAGGCTTTGCCAGAAGGTGGTGCTGTCCTGGCAGCTGTCAAGGCAAGACTGAGCCAGCTGGTGGGGCAGGCTGGAAGGGTCTGTGAGAGCCCGGGTGACAGCGTTAATGGGAAGAAAGGGGCCAGGACAGAATGAAATAACCACAATGGAGGGACCGTTCCGATTGACGGCACACACCGAATGGCGGGCGGTTTGTGCCGATCAGAGAGCTGGGCGCAGACATGGGACACCCAGAAACTCCTCCCATTTTGCATCTGCGGGACGGGATTCCTTCCCTCCCGCTCTCGGAGGACACTGCGAAGAGGGGCAGGAGAGCTTTCTGTGCTCGCTCCACCGGGAACCTGGTGCTTTGGGAACACTGCTCTCGGAGACACCCCTTCCCTTCCCTCCCCTCCCCCCGGGAGGGAAACGGGCAACTCTACATGCTGCGGAAATGGGATCTGGCTTCAGATATGAGTCACATTGGCAAGCCCCCCATTTTCTCCCATTGCCCAATCCGCATTTCCAGCAGTGCTGGCCTTTTAAACAGCCTTGCCCGACATCCTCGGCCTAATCCGAAGCAGAAGTGCTTTTGCTCCACATTTTACAGGCCAGCTGTGGCCAATCTAAATTCAACCCTCGGAGCAGCTGGGAGCTTTCTTCTCTCTCCTCCCCCCCCCCCCCAACCGATGTGGGGGTGGGGAAGCATGCCAGATTTATTTTAATGGACCAGATGGTGGTGGTTGGAGCTAGTCGAAATGCCCTTGGAGCTAGTTTAGGATAAAAAAAAAAAAGTCAAAAAGCCAAACAACTTTTGTAGCAGCGCTGGACGCCCCACGCCTTCTGGGGGCAGGGGGAGGGGCTCTCCGAACAGGCCTCACACTGTAAGGGAAGAAGCACGAGCGCCCCTCGCCCCCTCCTCATGCCCCTGCAAATCCCGCCAGCCGCAGGGCGACAGACAGCGCCAGGTGCTGTGCTGCGTCCCATGCCTCCCGGGGAGGGCAAGAGAAGGAAGGCTCCACATGTGGGAGTAACAATGCTCCCTCCAGAAAGAGCAGCTGGAGCACGGACCCTGACCCTTGAGGGGGGTGCAACCCCTTACGGGGGTAGGGCAGACCTCCCCCCCTTTTGCCCCCAGAGCACTCACGCGCCCTCTTACTGGTGACCTGAGCAGGCCCTCATACCAATGGGGGCTAGCACGCCCCTACATGGTGGGATGAAGCATGCCACCCTGGTGCCCTCACTGTAGTTTGTGAGGGGCATTAGCCAATCCTCACTTCCCCTGTGAGACCACTTTACAGATGGGGGAAACTGAGGCACAACAAACGGGGCAGTGACTTGCCCAAAGTCAGCCAGCAGGACAGGAACAGAGCTCCTGTCTCCTGAGTTCCAGCCCAGTGGCCCATCCACTCGGCCATTCTTCCCTCACACACACAGGCAAGCTTGCCTGGGAGTAATGGGGCTCCCCACAGGGAACAGCTGGAGTGATTCCCCGCGCCCTGGGTTAACACTGGCCCCCACAGGGTATGGCTGGACTACTTCCCCTTAGAAGGCAGCTGTAGCTAATCCTGCATTCCCATAAACGCCCACAACCAGGGGCTCTGGTTTCCTAGTCTCTAGCCACACAGAATCAGGTGGGCCGAGGCCCAGCCTGACCTGCCTGTACCTACTGGACTACCCCAAAGATGTGAGGGAGAGGAGGAGATTCCAGCCCTCAGCCTCTCCCCACACTATCTGAGGGGCCCGGTGAGGCTGCTCCCTTGGGGGGCTGGCACATTGGCACTGTTAGATGCATTTCCCCTTGCAGCCTCTCCATTGCAAACTGCACATTAGAAAGAAACGCAGCCCAAGGAGAGTCATCAGGGAACAACTGCTAAGTACCTGGCTTGATGCCGCCATTCCCTTCTTGTTCACCCCCGGGGTCTGAGATCTGCTCTTCCACCCTCCAACCCCGAGCGCCCCAGACGCCACTTCTCTCGGCCTCTGCATCGCTCCCCTCACAAGGCGCGGCAGCTGCCCGGTTGTTATTGGTGCCCAACGCTAGCTATGCCCCGGAGAGGTGCTGTTGGAATGACATGGCAGGTGCCCACCTGCTCACCCTGGCAGCGTGGATCTCACTCTTGACGCCCCGGCGGGCTGTCAGAGCACAAGAGCCTGGGGGTTACAGCTAGGCCAGGACCTGGGAGACAAGCAACCTGAAGGATCCAGAGTCATGGTGGGCCCTGGCCTAGCAGGGAGGCCTAGTGACCTGAAGAGGCTGCACTGCAGGCAGGCCTGGCCCCACAGCATGGTGGGAGGCATGGGAGGAAGCAGAAGAGGGGTGGCAGGGTGTGTGAGAGAGCAATGGAGCTAACCCTGAAGATCCCTGGATCTGGACAAAGCGTGGCAAGGGAGGAGATGCTGAGAGGAGAGGGCAGCGCTGAGCGTAGAGGCACGGGGGCAAAGATGAGAGGAAAAGGAGGGTGGAGAAAGGAGGACAAGGGGTGGGGTGGGGAGAAAAGAAGAAAAAGTGACCCCAGTGGAGGAGAGGGATTTCGGGGTCAGTAGGCGTCCTACAGTCCTACAATGTACAGCAGGAGCCTGCCGGGAGGGGAGGACTGTGGGGTGGAGTGGGTCAATGTGAGGTGATTGTATTTCCCGCCCTCCCATTGTGGGGACACACCAGCTCTCCTATATCCCCACCATCCTCCCAGTCTTTAGCACGGCTCAAGGAACTACAAACACAGCGCAGCCATATGGGGCAGCCCACGCCCCGCAGTGGGGCACAGCACAGACGGTGCACTATGGGCATGGGACACTGGAATATTTTCAGTGGGTATTAACAGTCCACCTCCGGCCCCGCCATCGCAGGGTCCTCTGCGCAGTGGGAGCCTCTTCCAGGTGCTCTGGAAGTTTGCAGAGGCCTCAAGGGGTCATCATTCCCCAAGCACTGTGAGCGGGTCTCCCCCTCTGGGACTGAGCTTTGCAACTGTGTGGGTCTCCCTTTTGCCCGGTGTGTCCTCTCCCCTCACCTCTATTTTAACAGCATGTGTCACTTCTCCCTTGGCGCCCCCCAGCACCCTGTGGTTAACTGTGCTGTGGGTAACTCTCCTCCCTCTGCATAGCTGTGTGCGCGTGCGTACCATGGAGCTGCGTGTGTCTCTTTCTCTGGTACTAGCGCACACTAACCCTATTCTCTGCTCCCTGTGTGTGGTACCAGCAGGACAGCTCTGTGTGGGCCCCACTGTCTCTATGGTACCTGCGTAGCTAAGTCTGTGCGTGTCTGTCTCTGAGAACAGCGGGAAGGCCCCTGTGCATGCCCCCCCTCGCCGTCTCTATGGTACCAGGTAGCTAAGGGTCCTGCTCTCTCACTCTCTGGTACTGGCAGGCTTTGCAGGGCTGTCCCGGCCCCGTGATTCACCAGAGGTTGTGCCATTCCCTCTAGGAGGGCACGTCCCTCCTCCAAATTACCACATTCCCCAAATTCCTCTCCCCTGACACCACCACGTGAACCAGTTGGACGGCTCTGTTAAAAATAACCTAGTGGGACAACCTTCCAGCCAATCCACGCGCCGCAGCATACCAGCCCTGGCCGAGTCCAACTCAAGTTACACCTGCTGTCTGGGGGCAAGGCGCAGGCTCCCTGAGTTCCTGGCAACAACCCCGAGAGACACCCCTTGCCCAACAAGCCCCGGCCCTCCACTGTCTCCCCATGCTCACAGCCTGGCTACAATTCAAATGCTAGAGGTTACCAGAGGTCAAGGTTGCCCCCCTTCCACCGCTTCCCTCTGCTTCTCTATGCTGGGAGCTCAGTCCCTCTGCAATCAGAACACCCCCACCCTGCAAGTACCACAGCAGAGCTACAATGCTCTGGGATCCCTCTGGAAAATCCCATCTCTAAGGCCTGCCTGGATAGGTAGCCATGCTGGTGGGCTGGAGAAAGTCTCACCCAGGGAAGCTACAGAATGCCCTGCCATGTCCTGTCTAAGCCCATCGCCGGCAAGAGCTCTGATCCTGTCAGAGCACAGTGGCATCCCAAGGAAAGAATGCTACAGCAGGGGATTGCAAGTGTTTCAGGGCAGGGACTGCTTCATACTGCGTGTCTGTACAGGGCCCAGCACAAAGCAGTCCCGGTCTCAGCTGGGACCTCTAGGCCCTACTGTAATACAGCTAACAACGGCCAGCAATACTGTAGGGAGACTCATGTAAGCTGTTGGGAGCGGATGTTACTGCAGAAATCCTCAGAGAAGAAAATACTACTGAATGCTGTAGTAAGGGTCCACGACGTTACTGGTTCCAATGGAGAGTCTGGGGCTAGTGGTAGAAGAGTATTCTCTTAGTGGGATACTGGAGTACTGGGAGGTAAGCAGGTTGGGCAGGAACAAAAGGCAATGGGGTAAGAGTAGATGAACAGCACCCCCTTTGCCCAGATAAACAGTGGGGTTCCCTGGCTCTACTGGGGTTAGTCTCCCTCTGGTCACGGCTGACCCAGCCCTGGTTCAGGGAGCCCTCTGGGGCTATGTGACCTGGAGAACCCGCGCCAGGTGTGAGCTAAGCCCTTCTCCTGTGGAGAGGACCCCCCTTTCCCCTTGGATTATGCTCAGCCAATGACTCATTTGCCATTGCTTCCACTATTCCAGCATGGAGAGCCTTGGCTTCTCCATGGGGTTTCTCGTCAGGGGGTCAAACAGGGCGCTCATACATGCTGGAAATAACGCCCATGAAAAGGGTCAACAGCCCTACCAGGCAAATGGGGAAGCACAAACCCAGGGATTCATTCAAGGCCACGCAGATCATAGACCTGAAGGCCAGAACGGGACCATCATGATCATCTACTCTGACCTTCTGCACATTGCAGGCCACAGAATCTCTTCCACCCCCTCCTGTAATAGACCCCTCACGTCTGGCTGAGTAACTGACATCCTCACATCACAATTTAAAGATCAGAGGCAAGGGTCATGGCGGTTTCAATGCCTCCTCTCCCAGAAGAACTAGGATTGGGGTAGGAAAGCACGCAACCTCCCCAAGCCACACTCCTGCAGGCGGATTGGGGTGCACAAGGACTATGAGCTCGCCCGGCTATTCTGAGCCCCCTCCCAGACTAGAGGCAGACCGGGGCCCACTGTATGTTCGGTTCAACAGACCCCCTCCTTGCTCTCTCCTCCAGGAGGGAGACTAGGAAGGTTTCCCGCAGCCCTGCCTCCAGTTCTAAACACTGCCTACAAAAGAGAGCGGAAGTGGGGAGGGGGTGAGGCAGAGAGAAAGTGTGTGTGGGGGGGATGCAGCGAGATAAGAAGGTGAAAATCAGTTTCTGAACCAAGTGAGGCAGTGTGGAAGAAGAAAGCAGAACTGGGCTGCTGTCTCTTTAAGCAACTGCCAGATGTCTCCCAGGGGCTGGAAAAACCAGTTTGCACACTTGGGTTTGTTGAGTGGAGGCCAAGCTCCCCAGCGGCACTCCAACTATTCCCAGAGAAATCCAAACAATGCACCCGCTTTGGAATCCCCGCGCCTCCGTCCCTGATGCCCTGGGCTAGAAGGGCCCCCGCCGGGTGGCATGAGTGAGGAGCAGGGGTGCAAGGGCTGAAAGGCGGTGTAGCGAAGCAGGTCCCTTTGGGTGGTCCAGAATCTTGGGAGCAGGGGTGGGGAGAAGTCTTGCTTTGCTGCAGGAAGATCTGAGAACAGGGGGAGAGGCGTGGAGAGCCAGTGAGACCAGTGCACGGGAGGGGAGCAGTTAATGGAATGGCCAATGCTTAGGGAAGAACTTAAAAAGGCAGTGTGCTGGCGACTGTCCCCCTCCCCAGAGGTGGCTGCATTTCATGGGTGCTCTGTGCCCAATTGGTAAGGTGCTTTAGGGTCTTTTGCAACTAGAGAGAGAAGTCAGGCATTACCAGCAGTCTGCAATTCCCTTCAGCTCAGTGCTGATTCCAGAGGGATTGGTACAAAGACGTGATTGGCCAGTTCTGATCGGGTGTAAGAGTTGTGCCCAGTTTCTCAGAATATGATCAATATAAAACTATCCTAATCCTTAGCCCTTCTCTAGCATCCTCCCAGGATTCCAAAGTGCTCTACAGAGACGAACACATTAAGTGTAAAGTAGGTATTCTAGCTATTATAAGGATGGGAGAAACTGAGGTAGAGTGGGTGGCAGTGCTGGGAACAGAACCCAGATCTCCTGAAGCTTAGTCTTGTACCTTAACCACTATTAGACAGTGTTCCTCCCCACCTCCATAAGTCATCCTCTGAGGTCATAACACAGTGTTTATGACAGTCCATTCCCATGGAGACAGGTCTGAGGTCACAAACACTGAGTTGTGACATCACGGGAGGACTCAGCCCAGAGCAGAGAAGGAGGAGACCATGTGTGTTTACACACAGCTCTAGTCATCAGCAGCGAGGGAGGCAGAAAGCCCAGAACAGTTTGAGGGGGTTTAAACCTCTATTTTCCATTTCATTAGAAAGGCCCCGCTCCAGTAGCGTATCCCCCCTCTCGCATTGCACAGGGGCTCAGAGTGGCCCATACTGAAATACTGGTGCCATTCCCACCAGCTCCCTGCGTTTCCTTGGAGCACTGAGCAAGTCCAACCTTGTGCTGAGCTGTTGAGACTTGAGAGATCTCAGCAGAGGATGCTGGAAACGGGGTTGGACTTCCTTTTAGTGCTGGAGAAGAGTCCTGGATTGACAACCCTAAAGACTGCAGGAGCATCCCGCGTCTGCATTGGAAGGACCGTCTCGAGGGGAGCGGAGTTTCAATAGCCTCGCTGCTGACAACACACGTGAAGGTGCCAGTTGCGAAGGTGTTGATGTGGACAACTGACCTGCCAGGAACTGGGCTGAGAGTCACCCAACTCACCGCACAAAGACACTCGCCACCGACCTGGGCCGAACTCCAACTGCTGGCCTGTCCTCGGCGCAGACTCACTCTCTTCTCAGGCAAGCACTTGTTTAGCTTGTCACGCCAACAAAGCAATGGAAACTGGAGCGTGGGCACTGCATCCTAACCCCCTAAACCGTCAATGGGTGGAGGCAGGTACCTGTATCCACAAGGCTTCCTGCTTCCAGCTGAAGATGCTTAATGCGCTGACTTGGGCACACTTGCCTATCTTGTCACACCAATAACGTATTTAAAGTTGAACCCAAGAGGCGACGGGCCCCACTACCCCAAAGCCATCAGTGGGTACAGACTTCCCTCGGCCAGACCCTGTATTGACAAGGCGACCCTGTTCTAGTGGGAGACACCAGGCCAAATCCATGACTCTTTTGGATGAATGTGGCCCATTGGGTTGGAAATGGAAGTGGAGGAGCTTTGAATGGAGACGTGGGGGAAGGAGAAGGCTCTGGGAATGTAGTTAGCTCCCCTCAGGTTGTGGCCCCGAAAATTCAGAGCTGGGGAAACCATCAACATAGGGGGAACTTCTAGGCCAAGCCGCAGTTTGAAAACACAAATCCAAAGGTGGTGCCGAAGGAGCCTCAGAAGCAGAAGGAAGTGTTTTGTTTGTGACCTGCACGAGAGGCTAGACACACCAGCTTTCACGCCCAGCCCCAGGTGTGTGGACTCCCTGCGCAGAGCCTCTCTCTGCCTGCAACTTCACCAAACCAGTCAGGCAGGCAAAGCAGAGAGAGGGAGGGAGGGAGTGAAAAAAAAGAGGGAGGGAGGGAGTGAGAGAAGGGAGAGATGTCACAGAGACTGTGGATCCTCAGCATGGGGAACAGAGTTCAACACCACTTGACAGGTCTCAGCCATTCCAAGAGGGCCACCACTCCTGCCCCAGTTTGGCTTCCCTTTCTGTGTCCCCACAGGCCGGTAGGGACACGGCCCAAAATACTGTGGTTGAGACATTAGGTTAGTGCCCCTGGTGCAGACAGCAAGGGCCAAGCCTTGGAAAGTGACTGGGCAGAGGGGAAGGCACCGCTCATACCAAGAGCTCCTAATGCCTCCGTGTCAGAGACGTCCAGGCTTGGGACATCTGGGGGCTGAGCCTGGAGGAGCAATTCCCCTTCAGAAACTCACTTTTACCTTCTCTCTCTCTCTGCCACCCTCCACTCCCGTCGCCAGCCAGCAGTCACCCAGATGAGGTCAGAACACGGGGGGCTGACACAGGGGGATTTCAATCATCTACTGGATGCGAGAGACTGAACATCAGAGCCTCAGGTGCTGCAGAACCCGCCCCACACAGCTCTCCCAAGGCAGCTCAGTCCCGACCCACCCACCGCATCCCCAGCAATAGGCTCCCAACTTGCTCTGCTGATCAATCTCAATCCTGACCCAACCTGCTTTGCTAGTCAAGGTCTGGGCTCCCCCCGTGCTTGCATCTCAATCCTGAGCCCCCAGCTACTGCCATCTCGGGCACCCGTTATCCCCACTTGGACACACACACACACACACACACACACACACACACTTCCGTCAGGCTACACGTATTCTGTGAGCAAAGACAGGACTTTCATCTCCAGAGCCAACCACCGAACACTGGCAGCAAACCCAAGGAAATTCCCTACTCTACCCCTGAACTGGAGTCAGAGATAAAACAGAATAACCGAAGGGATGTATCCTCAATTTAATTGGACTTTGGAGTGGGAATGCAGGGGCAGCATTTGGTTCTAAGGGAGGTGGTGAGCTGCTCTTAGTCATCTTAACTGGATGTTCACTCTGAAACATAATGATGGATATTTGAATAAGCACACAGTGTCTGCAGTGTCCGTTGGGTCAAGCCTGGATCCCTTCTAAAACCAAGTGCGGCCTGGTCTTACTCACCGTACATCTTGCCTTCGTCCGAGAGGATGATTTTCCGCCGGCCGCAGGGGGGGTAGATCGCCAGTGCCTCCTGGAAGCTCTGCTCGATGTCTGGACTCCACACCCCCTCGGCATCATTGTCCAGACTCTTGTCCATTCCCTCCTGTCCATCTTCCTGCCCCTCCCCGGGGCTGCCGCTGGCGTTCCAGCTGTTGGACGCTATTGTGATGGCTGCTCTGGGCTCCGACCCTGAGCCCCAAATGGCAACTCGACAACCTGAGGGGACAAAGCAAAGGTCAGCGATGGATGTCTCCTGACACCCTGCCCCCAGCCGTACACACTAGAGCACACTGCCTCTGACCAGCCAAAGAAGAGCAGGGGGGACAGAGGGGCTGGGAGGGGAAGTTCCTCCTCTGCTAGAGATGCCAGCAGTGAACGTATGAGACAAAGGGCTGGGGTGCCGAATGCCGCGGAGCCAGACTGGGCCCTAAACGCTCGCTGACCAGTGAGCCCAGGGGAGCACAGCCCTCCTCCCCCGCTCCAATACCGCACCAATTCGGGTGGGCTCCAGAGACAGGATGGAGAAGGTGGAAGCAAGGTGCATTGCCGGAGTGCTGCGCTCAGAGCTCAGGGCCCTAGTGCTGGCAGCAACGCCCCTACAGAAATTACTGAAGCCAGAGGAGAGATGGGTCTGAGGTACATTACAGCGCAGCCCATAGGAACCTCCACCCCGGAGACTCGACCACGTCCCCTGCCCCACATCACAGCCCAGCCCTCCAGGACCCTGCATCCCCAACTCTGAATCCCTCTTCTACCCATATCAAGAGAGGAGAGCAGGGCTTTACTGGGCAATTATCGGCCCATCACGCAAGAGCCAGCTGCCAAGCGACTGGCTCTCAAGGGGTAACTGCACATGGCAGGGAGCGGCTCTCTGCCACCTTGAATGCAAAGACGGAAAATAATCGAGCTGGAATACGGCAGTGGTTCTCAAGCTTTTGTACTGGTGACCCCTTTCACATAGCAAGCCTCCGAGTTTGACCGCCCCCTTATAAATTAAAAAACATGTTTTTATATATTTAACACCATTATAAATGCTGGAGGCAAAGCGCGGTTTGGGGTGCAGGCTGACAGCCCCCCATATAATAACTTTGTGACCCCCTGAGGGGTTCCAACCCCCCAGTTTGAGAACCCCTGAAATACAGGCTGGTACAGGGGTTCCCAAACTTTTTTTGCTGGGATTCCCCCTTGAAAATATTTCAGGCTGTGATGACCCATACCAGGCCACCCTTACTTCTGCACTGCTGCTGACGGCGGCGCTGCCTTCAGAGCGGGGCAACCGGTCAGCAGCCGCCGCTCTTGCAACCCCCCATTTGGGTTGGCCCCCCCCCCCAGCATGAGAAATGCTGGGCTGCTACATATTGGGCATTAGAGCAGTGGGTATCCCTTCACTGCGGCCCCCCCTGCTAGTTACACCATCACCCCACTACTCGCAGGCCATGCCGCTGCCTTGGAGCCCCCCCCCCGGCCTGCTGCATTTCAACATAGTTGGGCCTCAGTGCAGGGACACAGCACAGGCAATGCGGGGGGGGGGCTCAGCCTGGTGTGTCTGCCCCCCCCGCACAACAACACAGAGCCTGTGCCGGCACTAGGCTCCTTTGCTGAGCACGACACCCCTGCTGGGGGCCCTCTCGTGGCCCAAAGCCCAGCCTCGCCAGCAAAACCCTCTGGGGCCAAAGCCTGCCCCCACCAAAGGCTCAACCCCCCCAGTGGCTGCAATGGGAAGAGTTGGAAGCGAAGTCTGTAGACGGGAGCAGGGTTTGAAATCCCCAGCAAGGATTTTGGGCGGCACCCAGGAGATTTGGATGCCCAATTCCTCTTGAGCTGAATGGGGGCCAGGTGCCCGGATCCCTTAGGTAGCTCTGAAAGACTCAGCCCCCATCTCACTTTGGGATTCTGGTTCAACGTGTCTATTTGGATAAGCCTGACCCTCCCCCTGAAAGGTCGCTGGGTGTTGTGGGTTGGGCACAACGCGCCCATGGGGGGCCTCCGGGGGGAAGCTCCGCTGCCCGGACAGGTTCTGCCAGACAGGCCTCAAACCAGCGCCTGCAACTTCACCTCCCCTCTCGCTCCCCCCTTTCCTGCCCAGCTCCCAGAGCAGGCTCGGTGCACGTTTGGCAGCAGCTGCTGCTGGTGGGGAGCTGAGCGCAGAGGTGTCTCCTTCGGCTAGAGGCTTCCCAGAGGGGCTGTGAGAGCGCGCTAGAGGTCTCCAGTACAGACATCTCCTTTTAAAGGAACTGCAGCAAACCGCTGGTTCAAGTGCGCAGGGATTCATTTTTTTTTTTTAAAGTAACTTTTTTCCTGTCTCTCCCCGAGCCCCGTGATGTCACCCAGTCTCTCCCGCTGCTCCCCCCTCCCCGTCCTCCACCCGCACCCCCCCCCTTCTTTGGGAGCAGTGTGGCCAAATAAGGAGAACAGAATTGGAGCAGTTAGCCAAAGAGAAGGGGGAGGGATGGAGAGGGAGGCTGCTGCGGCTGTTGTGTAGCTTCCCTGCTCCCCAAACACACACACACACACACACACACACACACGCCCGGTTGTGGGTACTGCACTGGGACGGGGGGGGGGGAGGGACAGGAGTTTTTTGGGGGGGAGCATGGGCATGTGAGAGCTTGCAAACCCAAGGGAGGGGAGCGTAGGTGCAGGCAAGAGCTCGTTAGCTCAGGAGGCAAAGGGGAACAGGGTCAGGGAGCTGCTTTTGAAGGCGGCAAACGGGCTACAGAGCAGCAGGGTAACGCCTGCTAGAGACCGAGAGAGACTTCCCCCTCCCCGTTTCTGCACAGGGTCAGGATGTAGCAGAATTTCTTCTTCTTGCAGCGCACGGAGAAAATATTGAGGCCTTCCCCTCCACAACACCCGTCCCTTGGAGACACCAGGCTTCCTCCCACCCCAGGGGGGCACAGGAACCCCCGTGGCTGAGCACAGGACCCTGCAGCACTGTGCGGGGGGGAACACGCTGAAGTTTTCCGGGCAACTACTGCAAAATATTGCAGGAGGGTCCTAGAAGGGAGGTTTGGAAGGGAGGTGAACCCTCTTGCTTCACTACTGGGGGTCAGGAGGAAGCTGCCTCTGTAGGACCGTCCTCTGAGCCGACTGGGACTGTTCCCTCTTGGAGACAGGATGCTGGGCTGAAGAGATCCTGGGCTGATCCAGTCTGGCAAGCCCTGTGTTCCCAGGAGATCCCACCCAGGATGCTCTAGCCAAGCTCTCCAGCCAAGTCTCCAGCCAGCCATTACTGTTAATATGATAGTAGCTGCTGAAAGCCCCAAGCAGGATGGAGACGGTGTGGTGCTAGGTGCTGTACAAACACACATGCAGGCCTGTGTTAGTACCCAGGTCTCCCATCGCTGCTTACGGCTGAATTAGTATCCACACACATCTCCTCCTGCTGACCCGACTGGTGGGGAAACCTCAGAGCTCACCCTGAGCTCTCCTTCCAGTCAGGTGACAACACAGTCAAAGCTCTGAGGATTTGGGGCTGGGGGGGAACAGAAGACGATAGAGCAGGAGTGCGCTCTCTCCTCGCTGGCCTGCCCCACCCAGTTGGAGACACGAGGAGGAAGATCCAAGAGTGGCCCGGCCATGGTGTGAGTGGTAGCCACTGGGAAAACAGTGTCTTGCCAAGCCAAGCAACTCCATTTCCTGGAGGGAGGGTGCAGGCGAGCGGCGAGTCATAGCTTTGACGTACAGTGCAAGAGATGATGAATCCAAGGCTCCACCCAGCCCTTACAAAACAGCGGCCACAACAACAACTGGGAAACAAGCAATGCCGGGCTTTCTTTGGAGGTGTGGGGCTGCCTAACCTGATCAGGGTGGGGGAGGGAGGCTGGAGCAAAACATGTCACTTTCCTTCTTTTACATCAGCTTGTCCTTGGAGAAGGCAAAGGGATTCCTTCCCTCAAAATCAGGGCCATGGCCCGCTCCTCTCCCAAATCCAGGAAGCCAGCAAGTTCTGCAGGTCCCTCATATCAGTTCTCCAGTAATGTCAGGGGCCTCGCAGGATCAAACTCTGCTCCCACAGCTTAGTTTGCCATCTTTATCAGCTCCCTCCAATGTGGTCAGGAGTTTGGCTGACCTTTGCAAGCACGCTCTCTGGAGGGCACAAGGAGCTGAAAGCTGTCGCAAAGAGCTGGGGTGAGATTTTCCCTTGATGTGCAGAAAGGTTTCAGATTTGACCAAGATGCAAGACCAAGACCTCTTGAGCGTGAAGGTCCCCATTTCTCAGACAGGTCCCTCCAATGGCGATCCTCTTTCCTGGGGCTCATCCAAGCCTCCCACTGCCTCTTTGAGTGCGTATGAGATGGGGTGACCTCACCACTCAGAACGGAGAAGTTACCTTCTCTGGAACCAGCATCCTAGGGGAGTTCTCATTCTCCCAGGAGCTTCAGTAAGTTTTAGCACAGCCCACGAGAACTACCTGCTTCCATCACCATTCCCCAGAGAGATACAGTCATCCACTTTTCGCCTTCCTACCGTCTCTCTCTTTCCCCTCCCTCCCTCCTCTCTTCCTTAATCTTCAGGTGCCCTCTTAAGTAACCTACCAAACATCCCACTCAAAACACAGACACAGGGCCAAGAGCTCAAGTAAGGGGGAGGCGAGGAAGCCTGGGGAGCTTAGCTCCCCCATCTCCACTCTAAGCAGAGAGGAGTTCCTGTTTCAATCTACTTTAATCACTGCGTTGGGCTGGATTCTCACCAACGTGGTGAGACCACTTTGTGCTGTATTACTAGTAGACTCTGACATTAGCATGACATGACCAGCCCATCGCAGAGGGATCCCCTGGCAGCACAGGGCCAGTGAAGAACAACTCTCCCCTGCTGGTATCAGGGTAGCAGAGATGGGGGCATGACCAAAGGAAAGGGCATGTGACCTAGATATGCCAATCACCAGCTGTGGGGGGCAAATTTGTGCCCTGGGCAGCCAGTGAGAGTCTGAGCAGCCTTCAGGAACCAGCCCTAAGCAAAGGCCACATCAGGATTTGGGGGTGGGGGATGCAAAGGGGGGCTTTAAGGACATTGTAGTGCAGGCACACACATGTGCACAAATACACACCTCCTGACCTGCACTCTCTGCAGAACAGCTGTCCCACCACGGGACCTGTGCAGGAAGAGTGCCCAGGACTGGAAAAGCAGGGATGGTACAGGTCAGAGCTGGTACGTACAGCAATGCCAGCACGATACCTGGGCTCCAAGGGGTGTCTATAACCAACTATATCTAA